GAGAGGTGGTACCACATGCACGCACGATAAACGCACTGACGCATGTGAACGTGTCTTGCCTTACAGTTTGTCACCTACTTGCCAAAGCCCAACTCTGCTGAGTCCGTGCAGCCCCTGCAGTCCATTACAAAGCCTACACCCCTGGAGGTAAGGTGGGCAGACTCCCCAATGAGTGCTACTGGCAAAGGAATTTCAGACAAAAGTATTGGGACACCAAGCCATTACACCTACAGTAACTTTTATGACATCCCATTCTGACTCATAAGCATCAATATGGAGCTGTTCCTCTCCTTCGCAGCTATAACAGCTGCCAGTCTTTTGGGAAGACTATCCACAAGATTTTGGAGAGTGTCTGTGGGAATTTTTGCCCATTCATCCAGAAGAGCATTTGTGAGGTCAGGCAATGATGTTGGACCTGAAGGCCTGACTCACAATTTGTTCTAGTTCATCCCAAAAGTGTTTGATGGGGTTGAGGTCAGAGCTCCGTGTGGGCCAGTCAAGTTCTTCCACACAAAACTCACCCATCTACAGTAGGTCTTTATTGATCTTGCATTGTGCACTGAGCCACAATCATGCTGGAACAGAGAAAGACCTTTCCCAAACTCTTCGCACAAAGTTTGAAGCATAGAATAGTCCAAATATCTTGGTATGCTGATGCATTAAGAGTTCCCTTCACTGGAACTAAGGGGCCCAGCCCAACCCCTGAAAAGCAATCACATACCATTATCCCTCCTCCAGCAAACCCAAAAGCCAGACTCATCCATTAGACTGCCAGACAGAGAAGTGTGATTTGTCACTTGTTACGCTCCAGTCTAGGGTTGGAGCCTAACAAAGTGAAAGGGAAGGTGGTATTGGGAAGGACAAGACGAGTAGGAGAAGGGAACACGGGACACAAAGGGAGTCTTTAGTTTTTATAGTTTTTCACAGAAACTTTACAAACACTAGGTGTAACGAACGTCAGGAGTGACAAAGGCCGAAGAAAAAAACAAAAACACATCTACCGAAAACAACCACAAGCTAAGTTGATTCTAAGTGAGCACAACAAAAAGGTGAAATGAAACAACAATGCCTCAGCCTAACTCCCTAACCAAACAAACAGTAATCCCCACGTTGACGAAGAAACAAAAAGGCAGACACTCCTTACACACACCTAGTGGAACACGAAACACACAGTCGACGCAAAGGTATCCAGAGGGGAGATCAGAGAGGCAAAGTCGGAGTACGACCGAAAGTTCAAAACCAAGCAGACAGTCAAAACCAGGGCGAAGGTACAATAAGGGACGAGGCGAAAATCGGAAATCAAGAACAAAAGCAGTCATACACGAGCATTCAAACCAAAGGCAAAGCGAATTAAGAGCAAGCAGCGAGTAGACGAAGTGTCGAAGCTGCAGCCTCTTCAGCCAATGAACCGGAAACTGCTCCGAAGGCAAGGGAGGCGGGGCCAGGTCCAGAAGGCGGAGTCTAGGGAGCGGTTGACGAATGGGCGAGTGGGCAGGACATCCGAAGAACCTGTAGGCATCCTCCTGAACTTACGGCACGTACCCTGACCTTACAACACGTATCTCCCTTACGGCACGTACCCCAGACTTAGGGCACACACTTCACAGAACACATTTCCACTGCCCAACAGTATAGTGGTGGCGTGATTTACACCACTCCATCCGATGCTTTGCATTGAGCTTGGTGATGTGAGGTTTGCATGCAGCTGCTCAGCCATAGAAGCCCATTCCACGAAGCTCCTGGTGCACATTTTTTGAGCTGGAGTTAATGACAGAGGAAGTTTGGAATGCTTCAGCGTTCAACAGAGCGTTGGCAACTTTTAAGCACCATGCACCTCAGCATTTGACGACCCCGCTGTGTTACTTTATGTGGTCTGCGACTTCATGGCTGAGTTTATGTCGTTCCTAAACACATCCACCTTGCAATAATACCACTTACAGATGACCATGGAATAACTAGCAGGGAAGACAATGACTAACTGAATTATGTGGCTTCCTATGACAGTACCACGCTTGAATTCACGGAGCTCTTCAGAATGACCCATTCTTTCACAGATGTTTGTATACCTGACTGCATGGCTAGGTGCTTGATTTTATACACCTGTAGCAATGGGTCTGAATGAAACACCTGAATTCAGTGATTAAGAGGTGTGTCCCAATACTTTTCTCCATATAATGTATACAATTTATAATACTATAAAGCAGGGTTATTCAACTCACGGTCCTCGAGGTCCGAGCACTGCTGGTTTTCCAGCCTTCCTTTACCTGTCAGTCAGGTGTGAAGCCTCTGACCAATCCGAATCAGTGATTATTAAACAACTACCTGGGAGAACTGAAAACACGGCCTGGATTTGGAATCGAGGTCCAGAGTTGAAGAACCCTGCTATAAAGGGAAGTGTTGCACTCTCTTAAGTCTTGGGAGACTTTTTAGAGTAATGCAATCAGCATCCAATAATACATAGTAACTTAGAAGATAATCCATGTAAAATTTTAAATATATACATATAAATTCAGGGTTAATAGCCATTAAATTTTATAGTGTAACAACTGCAAAATAACTTTATGCTGTGCACCTTATAATGAATATTAAGTATAGCATCCAAACTCGACTGTTTTTGTGGTTCTGGAAAATCAATCATATTTAACTTCCCAATGCATTGTTGCTTGGCAACTCCAAGGATAGCAGCATGGTTTAATACAAAGTCAGCACTTGTCAGTAATACAGTTTGGTATATACTGGATATTCCTAAAACACTGCATTGGATCTATGAGTTTTGTTTCAGTAGAAATTTAGACTATGTTGACGGTCATGTGGGTTAATATGAAACCAGTGCAATCTATACAACGTAACCTTTATTTGATATCAAATGAGGTGGCATGGTGGCACAGTGGATAGCCCCAGAGCTCTGAGACCAGAGGTTTGAGTCTGAGACCAGAGGTTTGGCTCCATGTGTGTGGAGTTTGCATGTTCTCCCTGTGTTATCCAAAACGATGCCAAGGTTAATTGGAGTTACCATTTTGCCTGTAGGTGTGCACGTGAATGGTGTGTGAGTGTGCCCTGCAATGGGTTGGTGCCCCATCCTGGGTTATTCCCTATTGGTTAAACTATACTGTACTATGCAGAAGGGAGACGTCTGCAGTAGAATATTATGACTAAAATAATATGGTCACTGCAGTGATATTTTAAGAATTTGCTTGGTAATGTTGAACCATTCACATAAAATGTATTTTTCAGTCGCAAAGCAATTCTTAACGAAGTCTTTCCTAAAATATTATTCAGTCAAAATGTTTCTCGATGTCCTTAGCATTGATCATTTTATATTACATAAATACGTACTGCAGAGCGTGACTCATTTTGTAACTTTTTATGTTGGACGGATCCGCATTATTATTTCACTGTAGCTCACTGCTTGAGTATACATGCTGCACATATTGTATAACAGTACACGTCGTTAATAAAATTGGGAAGCAGTATATTTTTTATACTACTAAACCAGGTACAGGTCTCTGCTGGCTGGAATAGCTTCAAGCTTTCGACGCTCCCACTACTCCTGCAGAGAATAACGTCTCTACAAATTGGCAGTGAAGGAGCATTTAAAACAATCGTACTCATCTCATTAATTACTTTATTAACAGCAGTCGTCAGCAAAGCTATATATAAAGTCAGGTGGTTTATAAAAGTTAAAGACGCAAGATGGTACATTGCAGCGACTTCACGGTTGGATTCGCCCCCGTATTAACCACATTCCGCGAGCGCCCCCTCGTGTCCAATTGCTTTAAAATGAGCTGAAATGTTAAGTTACGAAATCAAAGTGAGCTATTTTATGTAACACGCCACTCCGGACTGAACTGTGGCTATGAAATTAAACGAGATCGTTATTTTTAAATGTGCAATTTGTCAAACCATAAACGCCAAGTAGTACTTCTAGTATTTTAAAAAGTTTATCAATTAAGCGGTATTCAAATTTACATTAACAATGTGAAACATTGTAGAACAAGGGTCTTGCTGTTTTCGAAAGCCTTAATTTGGAAATCCCTCTTTGGAAAGTTGTGTTGAGTTTGTTGACCGCAGATATTTATCAAACGCGGTCGGTTATAAGATAGGCGTAAGTTACTACATACCTAACTTCCTATTCGAAGCAAACTGCTATATAAAAACCGAGTTGAGTTGTTTTTCTGAACACAAATTAACTAAATATATAACGAAAGCGTCTTAGACCGAGCTGCATATTTGACCTCACAGGAGGCGATGTCGGGTTGGATTTTTTTTAAGTTTCGTGTAGACAGGGAGCGATAATGAACTCACCCCTGTACTCCGTCTCGGTGGTATCGTCCGAACACGTGATCACACCACCAGTGTCTCGGCGAGCGGCGTGGGCTGAACGCGAGCGCCCCGCTGTGACGCCCAGCCAGAACTTGCGGAGGGGCTTCATTCAGGCTGCCAGTATGGGCTACACTGTTTCCCGTATCTCTGCTTTTCCTATTACTATGGGACGCTGGTTACCGGGGGAAATTTCCAAGAGATGATGCCACAAGTTTTATACTCGACGTGAACTTCTGCCAAGGGGAATGACGTTTGGTCGCTCGTACGCTGGTTTTTAACTCGACAGTAAACACAAAGAGGCTCTGCCATGGCGTTGGGACGTTCTGCCCGGAGTTCATACAGTCTCCACCCGCTTCTTTTGTCAAACAATTTGGGAATCTCTTGCTAGGAAACTTAGCCGTTATCCGACGCTTTAAGTGACCGACCATGTCCGACCCAAGTTACTGGACTGCGTTACCAAGCTACAAATCTCATTTTGTAACGGGGGCGATGCTCAAGCGATCAAAAAGGTAACGTTTTCGCTCACTGCCTACTTTTGTGTTAATTAGATACTTTTCACAAAAGTCTCTGGTAAAAAGCACAACTTGGATCATCAACACAACAGGTTGCGGTACATGGTCGTTTTATTTATATTAGCTAGTAACACTAATATTGTCTTAGAGTTGGATTTAGTATTGAAATATAACACTAAGCTACTAACTGCTGTTATCCCCGCTGCTGGCTAACGTGTAACTAGCTGTCTGCTCCACAACAGTGATTCGATCCGGCTAACCATACTTTAACCATGTTAAATTGTAGAATAACTATCTGGCTGTGTTTCCTGAGTTTGCTCGAGAGGTGTTCATGCCGCTTTAATACATCATCCGTCCAGTCGTTGTGCTGAGAGGACCTTCCCGCTTTGTTTGTGTCGCGCGGAGCCGGAGGAGCGCGGCTGTCTCGGCGCGTGGCACTGAAGGGAGCTTCCCGCTTTGTTTGTGTCGCGCGGAGCCAGGGGAGATGGCCCTTCGCGTCGCGTGCCCATGGGCACCGTGTTACCTTGGTAGCGAATGTCGCCGTTGCGTTGTCCCCCTCTAGGACGCTGCCAGCAGTATGGGAAAAAGTTGGTTTGTGTTTAAAATGCTCGGCTGAACACAACCTCATGCCATTGCAAGGAGTCAATGATGATTATTTAATCAGAGATCTTGATCTTGCATTTATTGTAAGTTGAAATTAGCAATGGAAAGAAATTGTCACTGTATATACGGGCCCAAATTTCTTAAACGTATTGTGCCGTTGATAGGAAAGCTATAACTCGCGTTTTTTTTTAAATAAAATAATAATAACTTGAGAATGCCTATATTATATTTCTTTTGAAAATCAGTTCACCTCCGTACTTACCGTTTTGTGCTCGTTTGTCCATTCGTTGTTGCCACCCACCCACACGCACATCTAACTGGGTTAAACCTCGTGGTATTATTTTTTGTTTAATGCGTCTAACTATTGGTATTTCATTCCTCTTACGGGGTGATTTGTACTATAGCATGGTGTGTGGAGTTGTCAGTTGCAATGGTCAACCTTTGCTTCAAAACCGCACCAAACAGAAATAAAATTCAAAGACGAGGCTGAATTTGAGTAAAAGTGGTACTTTTGTCGCCATGGTTCTTCATGTAATCTGTGCCAGAATGAAAACAAATGATGATTTTTGTAGCCACTATTTCATCTCGGCTGTGTTTGACATCCAGTATTCTGTTCGATCTGGGTGGTATTGTAAGGCCCAGGAGCTGATGGCCCATGAGAGAATTCTGGTGGTGGAGAAGCACTAGTTTGTTCTGAGATGTTACTAAAGCTTAGTTTCTCAGATACATTATTGATTACTTAAACAAGAATATTGTTACCTAATGAGCAAACTTCAGAGATAGAGGCTCTGTCATTGGATAGGTGCTCTGTTGTTGGTTTGATTTAGGGCACCACAGAAGACAGATGCAAGATTCTTTCTCACTGTTGCTAGTCAACAACAATGCTGAGGGTTTATTGTCCTCTTTAAACTGTTTTCCTTCCTCCTTTGCATAACAGAGATTGTACATTTGACATTTGTAATACAGATTTGGTGGAATATATACCAAACAAGCTGCTGTATTTACTTTATGGCTCTGACATTTCTTCAGTTGGAAATGGTGTCCAAGTTTCTTTGAAGCTCTGTTTGAGATGTTGGTATTCCGTCATGATACCCTTTTACTTGCTTCTTATAGGGTTTTGTGGCTGCGATTCTGTAATTGTGAGTACTGGTCTCTGTTCCTGCTAAGCTTCACTTACCTCAGTCAGAGCCACAGAATTTGGATCCTGTTCCAGGAAGTGCAGGGGACACCCTGGATGGGACACCTGGCTGTTGCAAGGGGCACATTCTCTGACACATAGAGAGACACTCGCACACACACAAAGGAATTTAGAGACACAAGCTCACCTAATTGCATGTTTTGGGACTGCTGAAAGGAATGTGGAGAACACAGCCAACCCTGGAAGTATGTGACCACTGGATCCAGTGTTTTGAAAAATTCCTTTTATGGGATTAAAGAGAGCAAAGCTAAAGCCACATTCTTATGCCTGGCATGTATGTTGTGTATCTATGTGATACATATGTTGCATCTTATGTATGCTGATTGATTTTGTTTTTTGTTTGATTACTACTCGGACTGGCATACTTAAAGACATTGCTTGGGCAACTTTATTAACATATTTACCTTCTAATCTGAGCCTAATTGCTGTGACATAGTGAGTTTAATGGAGCGCGAGTAAGAGCTTGTCTGTAATTACAATTAATGCATACAACAGGTGTTTGGGCCCAGAACAGAGGGAAAGTTATGTAGCTCTGTCGTCTTGTTAGAGCACCACAGTGACCTGTTACATATTAATCTCAAATTAGTTTTGCGTTTTGTATTTGTTTTGTATGTTGGTAGGTGGTTATTTAGGCAATTAGTTATGTGTAAGTGAATGTTGAAGGGATCATTCATCTGTCTGTTTTGCCACATGACTTCAGTATCAGGACCCTATATCAAAACCAGCTTGCTTGGGTGTGACACCGTTCCAAACTCCCTGTATTGTTTACAAACTTGAATGCTTGCTCCTTTCACCTTCAGGCACCTCCTGTAACATTTGTGATTCAGCCTCCTCCTTCCTTTGTTTGCGATGCATGTGATGTCACTCAGTGCTTGACCTCAGGGGGCCGTTTCTTAAACTGCACATTGCCTTGCATTGAACCATGTTTGCAGTCTACATTTTAAAATATTTTTTATTTTTGTGGCATATTTTTGTACTCCGTACTGGGTATTTATAAGCAGTCTTTGAGAACATTGAATTATCTGTGACCTGTTACATATTACATACCCCAAGCGAGCTCGATGGGCCGAATGGCCTCCTCTCGTTTGTATAGTTCTTATGTTCTTATGTTCTTATCTTTTTTCAGAATGTATTTCTTATCCCTTTTCAGAGATTAAAAACATTTGTTTCAAACGAATAGTTTTCTTTTATTAGGGATTGAATTAAGACCTCTTGCCCTTTAAGGGCACCTTGTTTATAGAACGGTAAGTTTTCCTTATGATTTTTGGTTAATCAGTGAAGTCCAGTTGAAGGTCGCATTGCTTCTGCTCGTCACCTTCTTGATGAATTTCTTCCCTTGTGGTTATTTTGTTTGCTCTAGTTGCCGTAGCAGCAACAGGAAGAGTCTTGGGGTTGGGACCCCGTCGCCCACGCTTTCGCGTCCTCTCTCACCTCTCTTGGTTGCAACAGGTAAGAGTGCCCCAAGAGCACTGGCTCCATCACGTGCTTTGTTGTATGTTATGCATAAGATGTTATTACACTGTGAACCCTTCCAGTTGAGTATTAAGACTTCACATGGATATCAAAGGCAGCGATTGCCAGATCAAGCCTCTGTACGTGCCAGTTCCTTCGTGAGAAGTCATAGAATTCATTGGTTACTAGCCCTGTACTGGCATGGAGGTTCAGGTGGTGTAGCACCACCTAAGATGATGGGTGTCTGGTGTGCATTGAGGGCTCAGTCCCTGGGATCACCCTGCATTTGTGCTTTGCATTATGGGAGGAGAAAGAGAATGAATGAAAGCCCGTGTCTTAACATGATTGTTCAACGTCTGCTACCTATGTCAAAGCCTGCTATAATTTTTCAAATTTATTCTTCTGTGATGCTGTGGTGTGTTTAATGTTTCTCAGTAATTCTTGTCTTAAGGTGCCCCCCTGTCTCTCTCCCACTCCTCCTGTCTCTCTCTCCTTGTCTGTCTCTTGTCTGTCTCTCTGTTCCAGCCGGCAGCAGTCCCTTAGACAGCCCCAGGAATGTGTCCAGCAGTGCCGCTCTCAGCTTCCCCTTTGCTCGCAGGTAGGACATCGTGCTCTCTGCCTATGAGGACTGCTGCTTCTCTGCTTTATTAGCACCATCTCTGTTTCACACATCGTTAGGTGCCATGGCTGCAGAATCAGTTGCACACCAAGCGGTTTCACAGTAGGAAGACAGCCTTGTTTCCAAGCCTTCAGCTCAGCAGTGATAATGTGACTGATTGTTATGTAAAGTACTGAATATAAGAAACTCGACTGGCAATTTTCTGTTTAGCACGAACAGGGCTGGCATCATAGCCCTGTTTTAGACTCTGCCTATAAGGATTTGCCATGGTGCTGAACAGCAGTCTTTCATTTTGTAACTAGCTGGTTAGTAAATTACAATTACAAGCTACTGTCATTTTTGGTTTCAAGTCCTCTGTTTAGTGCAGCCATTCCAGTAACGTGCTCAATCAGTCTAGCATAAGAAATATGCTTTTTATTTTCAGATTTCTGACCATAGCCTTGCTTGTTTTGTTTTGTGTTGGTTTCTCTCTAGGTCTAGTTCAAGATATTCTTGGCAGTTGGTTATAAATTATGCAGAAATGTAATCGTGTTCAATTTAGGAAGGTTTTTTTTTTTGCCTCTGATGTATTAGAAGGGGTCCTTGGCAATACCTATCGTCCTGTAGTCCTTGTGATTGCCTGCCTTAAGGCTTCCTCTAGAGTCCCTGACATCGGCACTCTAAAAGGTCTCTGCCCCCTCTCTTATCACCTTCTGAATTTGATTTCTCTGCTGAAAAGCAGCAGTGACTCATTCTGCTCTGTGTTTAGACACTGAGCGAGTCGCTTTTTCACTGTGCACTTAGTCACAAAGGAGGTCTGCACCTCCAGCTCCTGTTTGAAGTTCCAAATACCCACAGACGAGCCTTCCGTTTGCGTCGTATGTAATTCGTGTCACAGTCAAATGCATATGCTAATTGCTGTTAAGGCCTCTGAATCTTACTCGTTTTTTCAGAACTGTTATGCAATTCAGTGTTTTTGTTGGGTTTGGAATTGGAAGTTGGAATTTCCCCACATTGCTTTCCCAAGCTAAGCATGTTTTAAGGCTGTTGTGTGGAATTCAAACCCCGACCCTAATATGTCCACACCACAGTGTGCCCAACAGCTCCCTGCAGTTGCGAGAATGCAAACTGACCAAAGCAATCTCTGGGGGAGGGGAGGGTTCATCTACAGAACATTTCTGTGTAAAATATTCGGGTCCTTATGCAGCGGAATGTAATCAGAAAGTCTTTTGATTATATGCGCTCTTCATTTTATAAATGCTATTGGACTTCAGTAAGATGGTTGTTATCTTCCAAGCTCATCTTTGTCTCTCTCTCCTCCTCCCCACCTGCCCACACCATTCGTCTTGTTGCCCTAACATCTAAGCCATGTGATTCGTACTGACAGGTAGTTTTTGTTTTAATTTTGAATTCCATTTCACTTTACTCTTCCTATACTTGCCAGTGGAATTTGTCTTGTCAGTGTAGCCCTGTTTAGATTATATATCTTAGGCTGACCTCCAGCAGAGTGTTCATTGCCATTCGTAATGTATATGTACCCATTTGAATAAGAAATGTGCATCATAAATGACCCAAGGAGCCCCGGTATCCTGGGACAGACGGATGGTGGTCCCAGCTGGTCCGGACCCAGTCCTGACCCTGAGCATTGCTGTGTACTTGTGGCACGCGGGGGTGAGGCTTTAATGTGATTCCAGTCTCAACTCACCTGTTTTCCAGAGCGGAGGGAAGAAGATGGTCGCTGGCATCCCTCCCCTCATCTGGCTATGGCACCAATCCCCCCAGCTCCACGGTCTCAGTGAGTCGCTTGCCTCTCTGCAGCTTGCTGTGTTACTTTTGTGACACTCTAGTGTCCCTGTTATCCAAACCTAAGGGCTGGTTTAGACCTACTTCAGACTCTCATGTGCCACAATGCGGGTTGCTGTTGTGATGTAATTTTGGTCACAGACGTCAGGTGTGGAGACCATGTTTCCGAGCCGCCCACCGCTGGAGAATCACATACGACATGGACCTTGATGGTTCATTAGTCAGGGGAACTAGCAGGAAGTCAGAAAGGAGATCAGACCAAAGATTGTATATAGACACCTTTTCTACCCTCTGATAAGACTGAAGACAAACCTGATGAGTGGATTCCAAGAAAGGCTGGCCAAGAAGGTCTAGAAATACCGGCGTTTGTTTGGTTCCTCGCGATGGGATTTTAAAGATTCCCAAATGGCTGCAAACTAGTATAAAATACATGCTTGTAACTGTAATGCCATATACCCCTGTGTACTGTAAGCACTTAATACAGCTTCTGTCAAATACTTATTTTTAATGTAACACCCATATCACACTTCATAAACGTGACTTGAGAGCAGCTTTGCTCTACAGCGCCACCCCAGGCCTGGGGACAGGATATGCAGCGGCCTGACACGTGTCATGTGGTGCGGCTATAGTGCGCTGGCGCGTTTGCGTCCGTCGTAGGTGTAAACTGGCCCTTAGCGAGAAACCATGAATTGCGATTGTAAAGCAGGCCTTCTCGTTAAACGTCCTTTCTGTTACTTGTATGAGACTGGCACGTCTCAGAGCCATGCTATGCTATGCTAGCGTGTCCAGGGTGCAGTTCCATCATTTAATCCATAATTTAGTACCGAGTAATATAGAGTTTCTGACTGCCCCTAGTCACTGTGAGTGTCGTGATGTGTCGTGCCGTGATATGACTGGCCGTCAGTTTGCTCAGGGGTGTGCCTTAACATTACTGCTGCGAAACATTGATGTCAACAGAGGAACAATCAGAACTCTGTTGCAGAATTGCGGTAAGGCATGGCTCAAGCTGTGTGGTCAGGCGCCACGTCTGCTCAACAACAGCCTTTTGATGGCTTCTCTGGGCCGTCTTTGTGCTGAGTGGGGCACATCCCCCCCCTGCCCCCCACACACACCGCTCACATGCTCTCTAGATGAGGGCCTTTGCTGGAATCCAAGCTGAAATCTGAGTGCAGACCAGTCACTCGATGCTTGTGGCCCTCTGTGGCTGACGTGACCTGACCGGCAGAGGAGAGCTTGTGTCTGTTAGCTTGGGCGCCTCCCATCTCCCAGGCGTCTTGCACACACACTGCTGTCGGGCTCTTGTGCTTGTGTGTCTTGTCGTTTCTGAGGACCTCTAATAAGCACTCACTCTCTTTTACAGTCTTCCTCCTCTTCTCAGGAGCGCTTGCATCAGTTGCCCTACCAGCCCACTCAGGATGAGCTGCACTTCCTGTTTAAACACTTTAGGAGCTCTGAGAGTGTGGCTGATGAGGACGGGCGGCCAGCACCCAGCATCCGGCCCCGATCCCGCAGCCTCAGGTACCTCCATGTCCGTCCATCCGTCTGTCCATCCTCTGCTTCATGCTTCCTTCTTGTGCATTATACATTTTTTGTTGTTGTTGTTGTTGCTCGCTGCAGTTTGCAGCCACCACATTTTGTGCCATCCCTCTAACCCGGCTTCCCTGCTGCGTCGTTTGTTTTTCATGCTGATAAATAAATTCCAGACCCTTGTAGGCTCCGTCAGATGTGGCAAAACAGCAAAACAAAGCCCTTCTGGAGGGTGGGGGGAGGGGGACAGGGACAGAAAGGGAACTGAGCAGAGATTTTAGTGGTGGCATGATAGACGCTGGCCTGTGCGCTTGAGCGGTGTTGCCTGTGGGCAGGGATGGTGTGCGGAGCTGCAGAGCATGCTGCAGAGCATGCTGCAGAGCATGCTGCAGAGCACACTGCCCCCCCCCCCCCTCACAACTTTGATCCTTTGGAGCAAAGGGTATGTTTCATGGTTTGCTTAGTGGCGTTGACGCATCTGAAGACATCAGTGCCTCAGTTCTGATGGCTTCTAGGGCAGTTCAGTCACCCCCACTCCTCCCTGACTGCGCTACTCATTGGTTCTGTCAAACGAGCATTACTGCACAGTGTCTTGTTACGTACCTCTGATAAGCATGGTGGTTCTCCCCAGTTTAAGTCACAAACACACAGATGTAGTGCGATCTGAGAGGGTCAGGAGCTGCTTCAGAGATGGTCCTGACTGCAGCCGTTTCCTGGTTAGCCGCTATGCACGTGACCCGCCACTCAGATTTATTAGTAACTGCCGATACTGTCTTTCAATTCAGCCCTGGGCGGACAAGCGGGTTGTTTGATAACGAGATCGTCATGATGAACCACGTGTACAAGGAGCGCTTCCCCAAGGTACGCTGTCTGCGGGCCCCATCTGCCTGCCATGCATCTGGGATGGGGTGTTAACCTGGAGCTGTTCAGGACGACCTCCCCTCTGCCCCACGCAGGCCACGGCGCAGATGGAGGAGCGTCTCCTCGACATCATTACCCAGTTCTCCCCGGACAGCACCCTCCCCCTGGCCGACGGTGTCCTGGGCTTCATCCAGCACCAGCTGGTAGAGCTGGCCCGCGACTGCCTGGACAAGTCCAGGAAGGGCCTGGTGACATCGCGCTACTTCTTAGAGCTGCAGGCCAAGGTGGAGAAGCTGCTGCGCGAGGTAGGTGGGGCTGCCTATGGGATACATGGCTGTGTGTCTGTCTGTGCGTTTGTGTGTCGTGTCGTATCCATCTGCAGCAATTGGCACGTGTATAATAATGCATTGTTATACATGTCATATATTTATATATCGGTCATCTCCAACTGCAGTGAGAGGTACAAACAGATCTGGTGAGATACCATCACGAGATTTTGCTGATGGGGGTGGGGGGGTGGGGCTGCCTTGGTAGACTTTGCTGACTGGGGTGATCAACTAGGAATGTCTTAAAGATCAACCAGTCGATCTCGATCGACCAGTTGGTGACCAGTCTTATACATGGAGTATCTGTATGCCATAGGCTTTGGTTATATCAAGATTATGTAACTTGTCTTCTGCTATTAATGCAAAGCCCAGAGATGTGTATGAAAAGTTCTCGTGTCTGATCTTGAGCAAGGCCCCTGACCCCCCAGCTCTTTGGGCACCGCGACAGGTGGCTGCCCTTGGCGGCCAGCTTGCTCTCACCCACAGAGGGGAGGTCTAAACAGAATTTCCCCATGGGGATCGATAAGTATCAGTTATTAATTAATAGACCTGGGTTATCATGGTTGCAGTGAGTCTCTCCAATTGGCCAAACAGGTCGGGACATTAGTGATGACGATGCCTGCAAGCAGCAGGCCCTAAACGGTGATCTTGTCAGGTGCCCTGAATGCACAGTGCTCTGGCGAGGTGGGGGCTGTGGTCCCATTAGAAGGATCTCATCGTTTACCGATCTGCTGAAGCTCCTCTGAGTTCTCTTATGTCCTGGGACCCAGGCACCGGAAAGTTTCATGCCAGCCTGGTCCAGAGTGTAAAACAAGTTTACTGCTTGATGTTCGTGTTCATCTTCTGTTTTATTTACCAGGTTTGGTTTCCTTGTAAACCTGCCATGACTATATTTACTGACCTCATAGGCCCACTTTAATAATTATTCTCCATTTACTGAGTGACCGCGGGCTGTTCAGCGGATACTCTTGGTCTGGAGTGTCTGTCCAAAAGGGGCCTCCCAATTGGCCGATGTTGTGTCACGTGTCGTGCTCACGGTGGTGGGGTTGGGGCTGCGGCTTTTATCGGTGCTGTGATGGAATGCCGTATCCATGGCAGCGTCCGTCCGTGTTTGTTGTGTGCCAGTGACTCACAGCTTCTGTGCTTGGTGTCGGGCGGCAGGCTGGTGACCTCAGGGCTGCGTGTTGGAAAAAGTGCATGGGAGAGACGATCCTTCTACTGTTCACCTCACAGTCACACTAAGTGTCAACTTCGCCATTTTCATTAAACGGTTTTATGTTTTGAGCTGTAACATTCCATGGCTTTTACAAACCCATACCCCTGTTTCACTGAGAAGGTGAGGAAGCCAGAATGAAATTCAGGCTCGATGGCCTAAATTCACCATAAAGGTTGTTTGAATACATGTGATGCTTCCTTTTGAGAGATTCCAGGGAATGTGTTTTGGATAATTATTAACCCTCTGACACCTTTGCAGAGCCTGGAGTCTTTTTTTTTTTTACCGTTTTCAAGTTGCCTGTTTGGGACCATGTTGACAAGTTGTACGTCTGTGCTATTCCTTGTTGCCTTCCTCAGGAAAAAAATCAGGAAATGGCTTGTTTTCCCCCTCCGATGTATGAGTCACCCTTCAGAAGATACAAAGCATGGCATTCAGGCGGCCTTGGTGTGCCTCACATGCCCTTCTTCATTTACCCTAAATCGGGCCAACGGCTTCAGACAATAAGTGATCTGCTGTTGTATATCTTGAGGCAGCCATCGGCTGCTGAACATGGGCTTGTTTTTTTCTCTGGTGCTTGTGGTCCTGCTTCATGACTCTGCAAGACAGATTGTGACCTCAGATTAAGGAGGCTAGCGATTGTGTAGCGATATGGGTGGGTTCATGGTTCTGCATGGGCATGGATGGAGAGCTGCTAGGTGTCATGGAGCTTCCTTCACCTGTTATGGGTGGAGATTTGGAACCACGGGCACTTTCTGGCCCGGCATGTACAGCAAATTGTATGATGAATACAGAGAAGTGCTTGCTGTAGGTTAACACGTTTGTATTTGCGAGGCAGAGATTGGGCCCTTTAGCAGGGTTCTGGTTGGTCAGCACTGCACTGAAGGCTCATTTTCCACAGATAATGCATCTCCTATGTGCTGTTTTTGTTTTTACTTTCTGAACTAGATGCCATAGATAAAAACTGGGTCAGTAGTACCAGTGGTTAAATAACAACATCTTGGTCCTGTGGAATGTTCTCTGCCAATGGATTTTTGAAGCTGTTCATTCCACTCAGTTCCTTCCCTTCTTTTCCATTGGTGCCCCCCAGGCATACGAACGGTCTGAGAGTACAGAAGTCACCGTCATAACACAGCTGGTGAAGAAGATCCTGATTGTCATCTCCCGGCCTGCGAGGCTGTTGGAGTGCCTGGTAAGGAGTACCTCCTTATCGCAGCCTGCTTAACAAACACACCCCTGTAGTCTGCCTCCTTACGATATTTCACAAAAACAACACACTCTCTAGTTCTCTGCTGGATGTAAAGTGAAGTGATGTCTCTGGGCAGGAATTTGACCCCGAGGAGTTTTATCACCTGCTGGAGGCAGCAGAGGGTCATGCCAAAGTGGGACAGGGCATCAAGACAGACATCCCGCGTTACATAATCAGACAGCTGGGCCTGACACGGGACCCCCTGCAAGGTACCTGCTAGTCTGTATTATCAGGCCCAGCCCTCTTGATACGAGGGGGCTGTAACTGCATAGTCCTGATGTTCCTGTACTAACACTCTGCCCACCCATGGCCATAGAAATGGTGCAGCTTGAGCAGTACGACTCCATGCCTGCAGCTGGTGTGGAGTCCGATCCTGGGGAGGTACGTATGAGGCTGGTGTGCTGGGCTGTGTGTGTTGTAGACTAGGCCTATAGCCATGCCTGTGGTGAGCAGTGTGTTGTAAAATGATACCAAAATGAGTGTCAGCAAGGTGCCCCCCCCCCCGCAGCAGAGCAGATTGGTGCTGACGCCCCCCCGCAGGAAGCCCCTCGAGAGTGACTTTGAGACCATCAAGCTGATCAGCAACGGCGCCTATGGGTGAGTGCAGGATTCTGAGCGCATTGGGCCGCGAGCGACATGACGTGTCGGCTGACACCCGCCTCACTAACCCCCTGCAGAGCTGTGTACCTTGTGAGACATCGGGAGACCCGACAGCGCTTCGCCATGAAGAAGATCAACCGGCAGAACCTGATCCTCCGCAACCAGATCCAGCAGGTGTTCGTGGAACGGGACATCCTGACGTTTGCCGAGAACCCCTTCGTGGTCAGCATGTTCTGCTCGTTTGAGACCCGGCGGCACCTCTGCATGGTCATGGAGTACGTGGAAGGTGAGTCTGCATCGGGTTTCCACATGTCACCCTTTTACCATTTTCACTCTCGGTTTGGATGTGGTGTTGTGACCTTTTCTGTCCTGCAGGGGGAGACTGTGCCAACCTGCTGAAGAACATGGGGCCGCTTCCTGTAGATATGGCCAGGATGTACTTTGCGGAGACGGTCCTGGCTTTGGAGTATCTGCACAACTACGGCATCGTGCACAGGGACCTCAAACCTGACAAGTCAGTCCTGGGCTCTCCGTTGAGCTTTGCCTGTGTCTGTCCTGGGAGGGAAATGACCGGGAGAACGTCATGGTGTCTGTCGCCCCTGCAGCCTGTTAATTACATCCATGGGACATATCAAACTGACGGACTTCGGCCTGTCCAAGATCGGCTTGATGAACATGACCACCAACCTTTACGAGGGCCATATCGAGAAGGACACCCGGGAGTTCATCGACAAACAGGTGGGTGTTTCCCCAAATTCGGCCCTGCCTCGCCGGCCGTCCATCAGCGGTGATGACAGTTCCCCTTGTTCTCGGCAGGTATGCGGCACTCCGGAGTACATCGCCCCGGAAGTGATCCTGAGGCAGGGTTACGGCAAGCCTGTCGACTGGTGGGCCATGGGTGTGATCCTCTATGAGTTCTTGGTGGGCTGCGTGCCCTTCTTTGGGGACACCCCAGAGGAGCTCTTCAGCCAGGTGGTCAGCGGTGAGTCAGCAGCTCCACCACCTGGATGTTCAGCTGGGCTTTCGGGCCCTCTGACATGCCCTCTTAGACTCTGTGGTTTATATTTGACCTTAATGATGGGTAGCATTGCTGAAATGCTTAATTATTTCTCCTAGAAAAAGAAGCCTTTACCTTTTTCACTGCTCATGTGTCATTTTGGGATTTCTGTCACACGGTAGATGAGATCATCTGGCCGGAAGGTGACGACGCTCTGCCCAGTGACGCCCAGGACCTCATCACCAGGTTGCTGAGCCAGACTCCCATGGAGCGCCTTGGGACAGGTAGCACGTCGATCATCTTCAGGCCCAACTCGGTCCATGCAGATTATTCTCCATCTAAGTGTTTTGTCTCTGTCCCGGGATAGGCGGTGCTGGGGAGGTGAAGCAGCACCCATTTTTCCTGGGCCTGGACTGGAACGGACTCCTGCGACAGAAGGCGGAGTTTATCCCCCAGCTTGAGGCGGAGGACGACACCAGCTACTTTGACAGTGAGTCACCCTCCACAGTGCCCCCATTCCTCCTGCCACCTCCTCTCCTTTAATGCCTCCCAGTCCTCTAGCCGCCTTCTCTTCTTCAACATCTCCCATGCCTCTCCCTCTCCTTTACCGCCTCCCATTCCTCTCGCTCTCCTTTACCGCCTCCCAGTCCTCCCGCCACCTCTTCTCTTTTAACATCTCCTGGTTCTCCCATTCCTCCTGCTGCCTCCTCTCCTTTAACATCTCCCACTTTTCCCATTCGTCCCACTGCCTTCTCTCCTTTAACGTCTCCTGATTTTCCCTTTGATCCTGCTGCCTCTTCTCCTTTAACATCTCTTGGTTCACCCGTTCCTCCTGCTGCCTCTTCCTCTCATTTACCATGCCCCATTCCTCCTGTGGCATCCTCTCCTGTACTGCTTCCTGTTCCTCCTGCTGCCTCCTCTCCTTTAACGTCTCCCGATTTTCCCTTTGATTCTGCTGCCTCCTCTCCTTTAATGTCCCCTCTTCCACTTCTCCCTCCTCATCTACAGCACGATCTGAGCGCTACCAGCACCTAGGCACTGACGACGAGGATGACGAGACTAACGATGATGAGTCTTCTCTGGAGATCCGGCAGTTCTCGTCCTGGTCCAATCGATTCAGCAAGGTGAGCTGTGTATCCGTGTCGTGGCTCTGTGGGATGTTGGGTGATGTCTCTGTGTCTAAGGCGGCCGGTACCCGTGCCCCAGGTCTACAGCAGCTCGGAGCATCTAGCCACAACTTCCAACCTGAGCTTCTCCTCGTCGGACCGGAGCCATAGTGAGGAGAAGGAGGAGCACTGGGAGGGCCGGCCAGGGCTGTCGCCGGAGGAGGGGCTTCGGCAGCCTGGGGGCAGAGGAAGGTGAGCGGGGGGCCGGCTGCATGAGTGCCACCACCGCATTCATGTCACAGCCTCCGCCAAAGCCCCGCTCTGTGTGTGTCACCTCCAGCCTACGGCCGCGAGCCTCCTCCAGCTCCTCGCAGTCGGAGCGCAGTGCCAGCCCACTGGTGATGAGCAGCACCCACAGCCTGGAGACCATGCCACGCTTCGCCTTCTCCACTGATGACGAGGGTGAGTCGCCCCCGGAGGTGGCAGCGGACTAGCCCTCCAGCCCATAATAACCATGGAAGCGTCTCTTCATTTTACCCTAATGTGGTCACCTGATACCTCTAGGGTCAGGGGTTCACATCGCAGCCCTGCTCTGAGCTCCCCCGTGTCGCTCAGGGACCCTCCTGTGTGTGTTTACCCTGTGACAGACTGGCCTTCGTCCAGAGGGTTTCCCTGCCCCATGCTGCCTGTGATGGGTTATCTTCCAACCTGTGATGGGTGGATTGTGTTCCTCACACCATGTTTTCTCTCTGTATACACTCTTACAGAGGTGGTCGTGTCAAACCTGCACCGCATCCGGCTGCGGAGCAACAGCATGGGCACCAAGCACTCATCCCCGAAGGATCTCGGCACGCCTCGCCGCTTCGGCCACCAGCTGGAGACGCCAGACAGGCGCCGCTTCCCGTCGGGGGGCAGGGTCCCCAAGTCGGCCTCTGTCTCAGCACTGTCGCTCATTATCACACCAGGTAGCACCCCCACCTCCCCGCCAGCCAGCTCCCTCCCCGGTGACCTTCTCGGTGGTTGTGTGAGACACGGTCATGGAAGCTCTGTCATAATCTATTATCATTTTAATTTAAATTTTTTAATAGGACATTCAATAGCTTCAAAAGTTTCATTCATTATTTCGTTCATTTTCATTTTTAAATAATTAATGTAGGGAACAGGCTTCTGGAGCCAGGCTTGGAACTAGAACCTTTTTTTTTGGAACCAGGGATTCTCTGCCCAACTGTAGTTCCTTGGAGGCAGTTCCTCCAGACCCCTTTTTAGTACCCACCCCTGACTAGGTACTTTCTGTTCAACTCAAACTACTGGGGAGGTGCTTACAGCCATAGCTTGCTGGTTGGTTGGCGCTCGTGGCCGTAGCTTGCTGGTTGGTTGGCGCTCGCGGTCATAGCATGCTGGTTGGTAGGCGCTCGCGGCCGTAGCTTGCTGGTTGGTTGGCGCTCGCGGCCATAGCTTGCTGGTTGGTTGGCGCTCGCGGCCATAGCTTGCTGGTTGGTTGGCGCTCGCGGCCGTAGCTTGCTGGTTGGTTGGCGCTCGCGGCCGTAGCTTGCTGGTTGGTTGGCGCTCGGGGCCGCAGCCTGCTGGTTGGTTGGCGCTTG